TCCCACCCTCGCGCCCCCGCCCCCTCTATATTTAGGCGACGCGCTGCTGGAAGCTGTGGCATAAAAACGCGCGGGAGACGACGAGTGGGGCGTGGCGTGGCGTGAAGGGAAAAGAGAGGGGGGGGGGGCGAGGAAAAAAATGACGAAGTGCGACGTTAACAGGGGGGAACGAGAGATGAGTGCCCCCCTCTCCGCCTCGTGGGGGTCTCTGTCCCTGTGGTGGCCCCCTGCCCCTCCTCCCTCCGCCCCTTCCTTTCCCTCCCCATATTCCCCTCTAATGATTCATGAACGACACATGGTGCGTCTTCCTGCAGTCACGGGGTGCCTGCTATCACAGGTGCAGACGCGCGGCACTTCTTGCTTTTTATTCCTTCTACGTGCTTTTACGTGCCGAGGGGGTGGGGGTGGGTGCATGTGCGTGCACACTAGGGCATTCTTTGTAACCTATGACGGTATTCTATGGCACCTAAAGGGGTATTTATTTATACTTCCCTGAGTTAGTTCTCCGGTAAGTAAACCCTTACTTGCTACGCTCCTTCTCCATCCTTTCTCCTCTGTCCGGGGTGCACTCCCGTGTGCCTTTTTGCCTCCGTGTAAAGCCCTAGAGGATCATGACGGTGACGGCTACGAGAGGCCCCGCCCCGTAGGCCGGCTGGCCTGACCCGCCCCAACGCCCAGCATTGCTCCGGGGCCTCTCTGCAGCAACAGTTGGCTCCCCCCCCCCCTCCTCGCTCTCCCACGCTCGCACCCCTCCGCCGGGGGGTGGCACGGCGTGGCGAGGACGCACGGCCCCGACAGGCACTCGCCCGGCCTCGACTTCCTTGTTTTCACAAACCGTTTTCCTGTTTTTGCAGAACGCTCCGGCTCCAGCCCGGGTCCCTCGTCCGCCACCAGGCGCGCCTTCCGAGCCGCCTCCGGTGCCGCCGCGTCCGGGACCACGCTGTCACCGCCGCCCTTCGGCGGCGTCGGCCACGAGAAGCTGAGCCTGGCCTTCTCCGTCTGGAGGATGGAGGACGACTGGAACGTCGGCAGCGCCAAGTGATGACCACACGGTGAGTTGAGAGAGTTCTTGTAGCTAGAAGTTAAAACGTGACAGATGCGATCGCTGTCCTATCGGGTGGGAAACGCGCAAGTCCCCGACGCTTCTCCTCGGTATCGAATCGAGCGGGGAGGTGGAGGGAGACGGGGTGGGGCGTATGGAAACGTCGTCGGCACGGCGGGTGTCGTTCTTCTCGGTGCAAACCCATTTTAGCTTCCTCTTCTTGCTCACCCCTCCCCTGCCTCCACGCGAGCGGCCCCCACCCCCCTTTCCCTCGCTACTTGTAATAAATGTTGTGTGTGACTCGCCTGGGCGTCCAAAATGACCCCATGCCAAATTTATGGGCTGGCTGATGCCGCTGCTGCTGCTGCCGCCGGGTGGGGTGCTTGGGGGAGGGGGAGAGGGGTGCGAACGGCAGGGCACAGAGGAAAGAAACGACGCTTTGCGATTCGAAAGAGGGGGCGGCGGGGAGGGGTTGGGGTGGGGGCGCCAACAACATAAACTTGATATCGCGTCCAACCAGGAGGGCGGACAGAACAGTCCATTCCACGCTGCCCATCGCGGCGTGGCGGGGCGTGGTGGAGGTCGTGCGTGCCCCGACACATATTTCAGCGGGAAAAGGAAGCTCTCCCAAAATGGACTCTGTCGGTCGGGGCAGGGGGAGGGTGTAGTGGGGAAACGGGCAGATAACTGCGTGAAATCGACTCATCGGTCAGAGAGAGAGTATGGGCATCGCGTGCGTTCGTAAAGCTGATGACTTTGAATCCGGCGG